CTTCATTCGGGTTAGCGTAAAACAAAACAGTGCAAAAAAAAAAGCCCGATAAAAAGCCCGAAAACACGCCAAAAATAAGCCAAAACCTTGAACCTCTGCCTGGAGAGTAACTGTCGGCCTCTCTATTTTCATATTCATCATGCGAAATAGTCCGCCCGCTCTCCCAGACAATAATAAGACTTCCCCACGTGTTAATTTGCTTTGTTGTGCGGGCCTCTTAGTTAGTCTACTCTTTTACACCGTACCACAGGTATGGCAGGTACACAAATTTGATGAACAATTCTAACGATATTATTACAGGTTCGGTTGAAGCAAGAAAGTAACCTACCTGGTTGAAATATTGTCTCTTTCGCTCAATTCTATGCTCCGAACAGCATAGGCATCTCAACAACGCAGGATTTGAGCTGATCATTGTTAGAATAGTTTTGAGAGTGTTAACTTACAACATGATTCCCCAAATACAACGAAATACTATTATCAGAATTAATTAAAAAATTTATGTACTTGGACATGCTTAAACGGAAGCTTTCTAGGAGATAACTGATTTTTTGGTGGGGGGGGGGGCGAAATCGCTAAAGAGGCCGAGATGGGGGGACCAAATCACTAGAGGGGAGGGCGAAATCGCAAGAAATTTCGACCCGGGGAGGACAATTCAATTCGCTAGAGATTTTGCCCCGGGGAGGGCGAAATGACTGGGGGGGGGGGCGGAGATCGTTGTGACACCGGTCCCCAGTTTGGGCCTGTGTATTGCAATCTGATGTGTATTGTACATGTATATAACATCGCAATTTTATAACAATGTAATCATTAATATGTTTTTAATCTATGTATCTTGAATGATGTGTGATGATGATTTGTAAATGATGATTTGTAAAATGTCAGCGCAATTCAGACGTGTCTGAAGCAATTCGGCACGTCTGCCATGTTGATTTTAAATGAAAGATTTGATCCCAACGTACCACGCACAGCCCCATGCGCGACAAAGAAAGTCATTGCGACTACAACAAACGTCTAGTACTTCGGCGGCCCCATAGTGTTACTCGACTCTCCTGCAGTCCTTCACATTCAAGACGCCAGAGGGCGCCCCTCCTCCAACCACTGACGGCGTCCTTGGTACAAGCCCAGCACATGTTCAAGCTCTTTCCGATCCCGCTTTAGTCTTTTTTGCGACGCCTCAGGGGCAGAGCCATTAGTAAACAACTGCGATTGAGTTGAAAATATTCTACAAATTCCTCGAATGCAGCCCAAGGGAATTAAATTTTGTCAACAAGCTTAAGATAACCCAAGAATGACTGGATGTATTGGTTTCATACTTAGTGCGTCGACAAGATCTGGAAATGATAAGAGTTTGGGCCCCCTAGTGGCTTTCTTGGTACTGCAGTGGAACTTCCGGTTTTAATATCTCGTGTTCCGGAGATGCTAGGGTCATGAATTTGGGATGGAGGTAGCTCTTAGGGTAGGTAAGTATTCAAGTGAGTTAAGGCTCCCTAAAAGCTTATTCGAGAACTGCAGAACTGTTTGTTTAAAAATTCTTCAAGAGAGGATATCAGTTGGCGTATCGTTGTGATTTCTGGTATGTAGGTAGCTTAAGTGATACTTGACATAATTAGATAACAATTTTTCAAATCAGGATCTAATTTGTATAATTAATAGGTAAATTCTATAACTCTACTGTGTTCGAACTCACCTTGTCGGGACATCACGTAGAGCAGGGGAGATGCAGCGAGTGGGTTACAGACGAGATACAGCCTGCTCCTGAAGGGGTTCAGCGGGGGACTGTCCACTACATATGCAGAGGTTGTTCCACACAGGGA